AAATGTGCTCTAACCGCCGCATGATGACACGACCGAGGGGGTCTTCGCTGTTGTTCTTCTCGTACAGCGCTTGTGACCGGCAAATCGTGCAGTACAAGCCCTTCTCATCCTTAAGCCTGTCAACATACTCCGTCCCATGCGGGTCGATGTTCTGCAGGCTCTTCGTGAACTCGTCGTCGAGGCGGTCCACGAAGCTGATGATGCTCCCGCGGATGCGCACAACGCCGTCCTTCTCCGTCTCCGGCGTCCGCTCCGCAAGATCGTCGTAGTCTTCCGTGATCTCTTGAATCACGTACAATGGCTCGCGCATAATGATACCGATCAGTTGGTCCACTTCGCCCTGCGCGTTGACCCACAGCTCGATGGGCATGTGCGTCGCGACGGAAGAGTTGTAGTCGAAACGCGCGGAGATCAGGGTGAGGAGGACACGAATGCGCTGGTACGAAGTCACAGCGACGGCAAGCAACTTCTCCAAGATACTGATTTGGTCTTGCCTGTTGGTGTTCTGGTGTCAAGGGTAAAACGACTGACTTGAAGGTCCAACGAGGAACTACAAACCTTCTTCCCGCGAGCCTCCTGCACAAGCTGCAGGTTCTTGAAGATGCTTTCTGGCGTGAAGGCCATCGCCTTGCCGCCCTTGCCGACAGTGGTAAACGCATCATCTTCGGCGTTCTCGTCTTCACTCTCGGCGGCCCTCCTTGTCCTCGCTCTTGCTGCGGGGGGAGGTGCCTCAGGCGCCACGATCGCGGTATACTCTCGCTCGAACGCCTCTGGGTCCTGTGAAATCACGCAGGACGGTGATACGCAGGCAGATTAGTGGAAGACGTGGACTACCTCTGAAATGACTGACCGCCTGGAAGCGCTTGACGTCAACTTCGTACTCCTTCGCAACCTTTTTGACCTTCTGCCTCATTCCGTTGAGCGCGCGGGCATTGCTCGCGTTCATCTTCTTCTTCGATTCCTTCTCCTTCGCCACCGCCGTGTTCAGCGCGCCCTCCAGATTGACCAATTGCTTGATGTAGAAAGGCGGGATGGGCTCTGAGACGTTCTGCTGGCGCTGCACCATGCGCACCAGCTTGTCAAACTCTGCTTCTCGTGAGTGGCTGTATGCGCGTAGCAGATGGCCTGCGACGCACCGTTAGAGATGGCGACCCAGTCGTTGATCTTCAGCGCATTGTCCATTGTCTTCCCGCACGCCTCCATCTCCTCCAACCGCTTGTCCCTCGCGCTCTTGACCACCCGCGTAACATCCTCGTCGCTCGCGTCGTCATCCAGGTCCGTCCGCAGAAAACGGCTCCGCCTCTGCTGCCCTTGCTCCTCATTCTGGCTGTTCTCGCTCTCATCCTCGCTTTCACTCTCGTCATCGTCGGACGAGTCGGAATCGCTGCCCGCGGTGCGCAGGAAACGCGACATGGCTGGCTTGGCTCCGGGGGCCTTGGGTGCGGAGGGTGCGCCCTCATCGTCGCTGGACATGAGCTCCTCCTCGGAGGACGACTCGGAGTCGCTGTCGCTGTCGCCGGCTGCGCGGAAGAATCGAGACATGGCTGCTGTGTGCTTTTGAGTGTGAGCGACGAGGGGCAGCTAGGGTCGAGCGCAAGGGCGGGTGCGAGAGTGCGCGGGTCGATTACGCGGAGTACTCGAGATGACCAGAAATTTTGAGTTTCGGCCATTCCCGTCATGGGCGCTTGTGGCCAACGAGTGCGCCAGATATGGCAAGTATGCTGTTTACCGCCCACCGCTACGGCGAATCTACTCACTGGTATTGGTTCGTCCACACTTATCGATACACCGTGTCCCACCAATCCCCCAGCGAGGAATGCAAGCATGAGATGCAAGAAGATACGTTTCCGAAGGTGTACATGTACTATACTGAGGATATCATACAGGGTCATGTGAAGGAGGGGTGGACGTGTGTGCCACATTCGCTGAATCTCATTCTGAAGGGTCATTTTCCGCAACAGCGCACTTGCGGTCGTGTCATTAATGCTTGGTCTCCCGGTACCGCTCGGCCAGGTAGCTGCAGAGGGACGTGAGCCACTACACGGACAAAGGCATGGAAAGTACGCACCCTTCACCGGACCAGAGCGTCAACAGGCCGACAGAGACGGCGGACACGAGACGTTTATCCCAGCGAGGGCGGTCCCACTCAGTGTATGCGTAATATCCGATCGCACCCAAGACACCCGCGTTGACTGCGTGGACGTTCAGTACACGTATGATGAACGTATGCGGTCACGCGACTTACCAACACCGACAAGGCCACCTAGAACGCCAGGACGGAGAATGTGCTCCCTAGCATAGCGGTACAGTGCAGCACCTTCCTTCTTTGCCTTGGCCTCTTCCTCCTGACCTCTGGGGGTCTCGCGATACTTTCCAGCGGCATAGCCCTCGCCGGTGAGGAGTAGAAGAGTCGCGGCAGCGGCGGAACCGATGGCACGCGTGTCGCGACGAAGGGATGGCTTGGTGTAGAAGGAGTAGCCCGCGAAGGAGATGAGACCGACGTTTACTGCAGGATGACGGCCATCAGCGGTGAGCGAGATGCAGAAGAACAAAAACGGCGCACCGAGCCCGAGAAGACCACCCGCGACACCAGGTTGGAAGATGTACTGCCTGGCGCGCACATACAGGTAGGAGCCCTCCTCTTCGGCTTCGTGGAGGTACCGCTTGCCCTTGCCCTTTGCACCGTGGTGCCCAGACTTGGGTGCACCACTTGCTACGGGAGGCGGTCCCGAGATGGAGGTGGTGGTCTCGGGATTAGAGCGGAAGTCTGGGGCCACGACGTTGACCTTGATCGCGTCGTCCGCGATGTTGTCCGCGGAGGGCGGCTCTGTGGAGAAGAGAGCCTGGTCTGGGTGGGGCTGGTGGATGAGGTTAGGCTGCTGCCACGGAGGAGACATGCTGTGAAAGTACCTGTTCAGAGGGGGGTGGGGCGTTGTGAGCAGCGACTGAGGCGTACGACATGGCTGGCGGATGCGAGTGTGGTGTACGGTGGGGGTCGGTGAGCAGATGGCAGACGACCATTCAGGCCGACGCGTTATATACGGCCGAGTATGGTAATGACATCATGGCCAGGTTGGACCCAAAATACTACGTCATACTTAAGGCGTCGCGAAACAGGAACCCCGCCACCCGCGCGTCGCCGCCCTCGCACACAAACACATGCGCCCCCGTGTACCACGCCCGCCCGCCCACCGCCACCCGCACGCCCGCCGCCCCGCCCACGGCGACCTCCGCCACGGCCGTCCCCGTGAAGCCGTCGCCGCCGCCCACGCTGACCGGCGAGTCGAACAGCGCCGTCTCCCCCACCGCCATCCGTCCCGCCGCGACCGCCGCGGCGACGCGCGCACTCACCCCGGACCCGCACGGCGAGCGGTCCACCTCCTGCTCCGCGAAGAAGCACAGCCCGACGCTGCGGCGTGCGCCCTCTGCTTCGTCGGTCACGATGACCCCGTACAGGTACTCCAGCTCCGGCTCGCTCGGGTGCCTCACTAGCTCCCGCCGACCCGCCAAAAGCCTCTTCAGCGTCGCCGTCGCCTCGTCTAGTTCTCGCAACGAGATCCCGCGGCCTACGATGCCCTCGAACCCGAGCTCTGTCGCTTCCACGATGGCATAGAACGCGCCTCCGTACGCGACGTCAACGCGCACTTGCGTTCCACCCTTCGCGCGGAGAGCTGCCCAGCGCTCGGTCTCCGGTATGTCCACGTATACGTCCCGCGCTGACGCGAAGCTGGGCACGCTGATGAACGTCACTGGCCGACTCTCGTCCGAGCGCGCCTTGCCGTCATCCATCACTGTCGGCACTGTTACATGCACGACACCGCACGGCGCGTGCAGTCGCAACTCCGTTTCGCGCTTCTCGGCGTCGTACTTCAGCTGCTCGCGCAGAGGGAAGACCGATCTGTCTTGCGTGTCGATCAAGAATCGCCCGAGGGCAATCGTCCCATGTCCGCACATCGTCGAGTATCCCTCTGTACACACCACTGTCACGATCACGCAATTCGTCTGCGGATTTTCGACGCACCATTGTGCATGAAGAGCACTCCAATGTCCGCATGCCCGCTCTCTGTCATCTCCGTGGTCTGTACCAGCAACGCTCCGTACATGTCTGTATGGCCCCTCGGCTCCCACATCAACCTAGGACGATCTGGTCGGCATCTAGTCGCATCCGGGATCTATGAGGGCACACCTAGTGCGTAGATGATCCAGTTGCTCCTTCGCATAGGCCCTCTTTTGCAGTAGGGTATGACCACGGAGCTCAGGATATCCTGACACCACGATGCGGGTCGGCTGCGAACGTGTATCACATCGTCAGCGTACCCGAGCGGCGAGCTATGATATGATAATGTAGCACTAACTTCGCCAGACGTATGCATGTCCACTGTGTGGATTACTATGTCCGTGTCCTTTGCTGCGGAGATCCTCTTGTGAACGTCCATGTCGATAGCCGTGGGTACAGAGTCGATTTCTACGCCGGGCTACTTATCAAGCATGCTATTCACATCTCATGAACTTAAAACAGGCACCGATTGGGAGGTGCTCAGTGCTTCATGCGTTACCATTCGTTGCATAGTCAGACGTATCATAATCTTTGCTTTGAGTACTTATGCAAAGCACATGCGCGAGTATTTGAGTCCTGGGGGAAGGGGCCGTTGCGGAATAGTGTACTTATACGAGTCTCAACGCGGAGCAAATGGTCATGAGAAGAAGACATCATCCCCAGCTCTGCCTGGCTCGAATCCTGCATCTAAGGCCACTGTAGCTGCGAGACCTACATACAGGACGTCGACTTACATCGGTGGAACGTATCTGACTGATCGCTTGTATAGCCAAGCTTGGGCCTTGGACAGGTACAGGTACTGAAATACGATTGCTTATAACCAGAGCAGCTGTTGACGTATGCATGCAAAGAAGTGAGAGAATGAGCGCCCCGGATCCGTTGAACTCATAACGAATACGAGGAACTTGCGCCCTCGCCTCGACTTCAGAATCTACTCAGACAGTGCATTTGGCCTAGCGGAAGTGAGATTGAGCGGGCGCAAGGCCCCTAACGGTAGCTATTTTCAAATCAATGAGATATGTAGCATAAGTCACTGCAGGGACCCTCTTTTGTTGCGTCAAATCGTCTGATCCTCGAGTTGAGCAGAGTGCCGAAGGGGAGAGACGAGGAGAGCGTCGAGCGCCGATCAGACGCGGTAAGCCACAACACGATCACGTGGAACATGAGGCCACGGTTGGGTTCGCCATGTGGACGTTACGCGACGACTTGAACACTAACCTCATCCTCCACGACGGTCAACTTGCCCATGGCTCCCAAACCACCCCCAAACGCCATCAAGGTATTACCGCACACATTGCCCAGTTCTCAGTGAAATACTGACGCATTCGACTGATCAGTGCCAGACTCCTGCCGCGTATGCGCAACAACTGGACGCCTTGCGCGATCCGTTATCCGTAACCGAGTCAGAGGAGACCTGGGATGGCATTCTGTATGCACTGCTTACATTTAGCTCCCTTTTGAGGGGCAACGCCACCATGTGGCCTCAGGAAACCGTCGTGTCCGTGCGTCCGATGTCGCGCTCCCTCACCACCGCTGTGAACTCCGAACGCTCTCGGTTGTCCGGCGCAGCCATCGATTTCTTCACCGTCCTCGTCACGAACATAGGCCCTGCCTTCGAAGGCCTGATGCCCCTCTTCCTCCCGACGCTCCTCGGCCTGTGCACCCGCCCCAACAAAGTCTTCCAGTATCGCGCGCGGCAGTGTTTGCTCACTGTTATCGAGTATTCCCAGTCTCCGTCGGTCTTGTCGTACTTCGTCGAGTCGGTGAAGGACAAGTCTGTCTCGCTGCGCCTGAGCGTCGCGGAATGCGCGCTGGCCTGCCTGAACAGCTTGAACACTCCGGATTTAGAGAAGGAGCCGCGGGCGCGGGAGATTGAGATCATCATCAGGGCAACTGCGACGGACGCCAGTGCGGACGTGAGGAAAGTAGGGCGGAAGGTTTTCGAGGCGTACAAGCTTGTGCTGCCGTCGAGGGTAGACAAGTGAGTGCGCTCTCCCATCTTCGGAACTAACTTTGTTGACAATCACGACGCTAGATTCACACAACCTCTCACACCGACTATGAAGAAATATCTAGACATCAAGCCCAAACCTATAGCGATACCGTCTAATCCACAAAGCCGTCCCCCGTCTGCACAGTCTACCCGCTCCAACGACGGCAAACTGCCACCGTTACAATTTTCGTCTTCGACATCGGCCTTGAAGTCTACGGCCGGGGGTTCGTCTACGCAGGCGGTTCCAACGAGTCGGGTGCACATGCGATCCGCGTCTTCGTCAGATCTTGCTGGGTCAACCGCACAATCTACTGCGATAGCCCGGCAGAGGCAGATCTCGGGAGAAAGAAGACATGTCGCTGCACCATCGGGTCGTTCTGCAGCTGGTAGGACGGATATGCCTCCCCCATCCATTGTCCCCAGCAGAAGTGGTGCGAACATCGGCGCGGCAGGCGATATGGGCAAGGGCCGCGTTCAAGGGATCACCAAGGACTCTAGCGATGACAGGTTGTTCCAGTCCACTCCAGCTGAAGCTCCGTCACGTTCCGCGACATCGACATCGACGACGGCATCTCGACAAGTAGATTCGGGTCCCTTCCGCCCGCAAGCGCAGGGCAGCACGTCGGGGCCGAGGAGACCTGTGGTTCGGCAGGATGTACCGCAGGAACCACCCGGCCGCAGCAGAACGGGTCCGATACGCCCTGTATCAAGTATGGCGGCGATGCCTCCCTCGCGACAGGAAGTGGCGGAGAGACCCCATCGCGTCGTCGGTGGTGCGAGGCGGGTACCGCGTGTGCTGCCGCCAGAACCAGAGCCACAACCTGCCGCTGTACCAGAAGTTAAACGTGGAGGTGACAACGCTGAACGCAAACCGCAGGCACCGCTTGGACCCGCTAAGCGGTCTCGCAGTGCGGAGCCTCGCGGTGGCGTTCCAGCCAAGGTCGCCGTTGTGCCAAAGACCAGGCAGGTAAAGCCTGCCGTTCCGAAGGCTAACGAGAGGGCGAAACCGATCCCGAAAGCTGAAGCCACACAGCGCGCGGGCGTGTCCCATGGAAGTACGACGGCTCAAAAGGGACGCAGCGACAAGACCCTACCACCTAAACGCGGAGGACATGCGCCATCAGGCTCCCGCGACGCGACAACTGCAGCTGCAGAAAGCAAGGAGAACAAACGCGAGGGTGGCGACGAAGTGCCCCAGAGCGCGACGCAGCCAACAGAGGTTCCTTTGCCTCCCAGCCCGCATCAGGATGCAGCACCGGCACTCCCACCTACCGACGTACCACTACCTCCGAGCCCACAGCAGACTGCGTGCCCTCCAACCGCCGCGCCAAAGATCGATGTTACGAGCGATCCAGCGACGCCTGACCGTCCACCCAGCGCCGTTCAGCGTGCCACCGCCGTCGCGCAGACACCCATATCTGCGCTCTTCGCTGACATAGAGCGTGGATTCCTGTTCACCCCTGGGGATCCGCTTTCTCCTGCGCAAACCTATGCTGAGCAAAAGGGAAATGCGCCTGTGCTTCCTCCGCTGCGGGCCCTCAGAACTAGCAGACTGTCCGATATTACGGAATGAAGAATACCATCTTGTTTCGGTTGTGCTGATGATACAAGTGCATACTAGCATCTGAATTGACCAGGCGGCAACTGTACTGAGTGTACTCGTCAAAGTGGTGTTATGTATGGACCCGTGTGTACACTCTGCTATCCGTTGTTTTGCATTATGGGTCCAAGACCGTCTATCGATGTCAATCCTTGAGCAAATCTCAGATACGAGGCAATGAATGTATCGCACCTATGTGAACCTCGCGAGGCGACCAACCGCCGCTCCCCTGACCTCAATGCGAGAGATACAAGCGCCCCTTTGCCTTACGCCGAGCCAAGACCTTCCGACCATTTAGGCTCCTCTTCCGGGCAAGAAAACCGTGCTTGCGCTTTCTCTTCCGCTGCGAGGGCTGATACTCCGTTCCTCGCGATCCGTAGCGGACTTGCTGCAAGGCATGAAGAACGGGAGAGGGAGCGGATAGGCTCGGGACGAGCTGCAAACGACCGAAGATGCGGTTGCTGTTGAGCAAGGTCGGTACTGTACGTGGTAGCACCGTGGTGAGAATGGGGCGGAAGGATGCTGGCTGTGAGGGAAAGGATGACAGTGCTGGGGGGCGCGCCAACAGGCGGGAGAGCTGGAAAGGTATGCGAGGCATGGCTGCCGGTGGGATATGACGGTCCGCGAGGACGGCTGAGGAGGATGCGCCGCGCGATGGGTGGACGCTGTAGGCGACGGCGAGCTGGAGGAGCTGAGCAGCGGGCAGGCTTGGACGCGAGCCGTGCGATGAACGACCGGGGGCCCATCGCGCGACCCCGGCCACTCCGGCGGGCGATCGCAGAGTGACGGAAGTCGTTAGACTGGACGAGCTTCTGGCAGTGGGAGCGTCTGGGAGGAGCAGCACTTGTCTGTTCTGTTCTGCGGCTCGTACGCATCCGACTCTCCTTCCCTCTCCACCATGTCTATACCCACCCCAGGCAGGGGCCGTTTCTCCGGGATCCCGACGCCAGGAAAGAGCGCCATTCCAACCCCAGGCAGGTCCCGTTCTGCATCCACGACCCAGCAGCAACCGCACACACAAGACGACGACTACGTCTCCAGGGCCTTCGCCGACGCGATCAAGGCCAACGATCCTGCTCAGCACCGCTCTAGTCGCGCGAGCGATGTTTCCAACGCGTCTCTGTCCGTCTCTTCCGCGTCTCAATCCTCGCTCAGCGGTCGTCAGTCCGTAAACGGCAGATCCTCCTCCGCAGCTTCTTCCTCCTCGGCTGTAAGCCCCGTGCCCCCTCGTACCCCGGCGTCGGGCTCCAGGAACTCTGTCGCGCGACCCGCCAGCCGCCAATCCGATGTATTTGCGCGCAGCTCCAGCCGCGCGGGCAGAGCGTTCGAGGTAGGCGACAATGTCCGCATCGAGTCCCTAGGGTTCGAGGGCACGCTAAGATTTTTGGGAGAAATTGATGGTAAACCTGGTCACTGGGCTGGAGTTGAGCTCAGCGGAGGCTTCGCTGGTAAGGGCAAGAACAATGGCGTCGTGAGCGGGTGAGCACTTTCGTCAGACATCTTATAATGTACCCCCGTTTCCCTGTCCAGTGTGTTTCGCTTGAACCACTTTACTTCGTGTCTACTAGTTCACGGTGTTAATTCTCGACACGGATACCCTGCATTTGTGCGGGTGTGCTGCCCTATCGCAACTTCTCTGGCTGACATTCACTTGTCTCGGCGAACAGGAAACAATACTTCGTCTGTCCTCCTTCTTGCGGAGTCTTTGTTGCGACGACCAAGCTGTCCTCTCCTACCGTAGGCTATGGAACAGTATCAAGGCCATCGTCGGTAGCATCCTCGCGCAGTGGCGCGTCACTCCGTCTGTTGCGCCAGTCCGGTAGGATGACACCATCCGCGTCCACCACCAACCAACGGTCGCAAGACTCCCTCAATCTCCCTCGGTAGCGGACGCGTTACTCCGTCTATGAGCAATGGACGTGTAACACCGTCCGCATCAACAGGCCGCAGAACACCGGGCTTCCTCTTCCCAAAGGTCGAGCGTCTATGTCCAGAGCCATATGGATACGACAACGCCTGTGCGACCCGGTGCAAAGCCATCACAGGGATGGTCACTCCAGGCTCTCGTGCTTCGAAATATGTCGGCATGACTGCGAAGCAACTGGAGACGCGGCCCCCAGTCCCGGAAGCCCCTCTGGGAAATCGTTTAGTACCAACAGCCCAACGAGGATAGGAGGGTTTACATCTACACATCTCTCATCTCCCACGCATGCCTCGTCATCTCCTTTCAATACCCCGAAAGCACCTGGAAGTGGTCGCGCTTCTGGAATTGGGATGGGTATCCCATCGACGTCTACGACGCCCTCGAAGTCTCGACCATCCATGAACACACCCCGTGCCCGTATACCCAGTGCCATCGCTATGCCACCTCCAGCATCTCCGTCGTCTTCTGTGCGTTCAGTGTCTCTCAGTGACGCTCAGAACGAAGGCGACCCGAGTTCAGTGACGGATCTGCAGAAGAACCAGCGGAGCATAGAGGACCGGATGGCGGACATCATGGGCAACCGCATGGTTTCTCCGTCACGGCCCACTTCGTCGACGTCTGCGCGCTCGAGCTCTGCTGGTGACTTCCAACTCCGTCTCGATTCGATGCAGGCCCGGCTGGACGCCCTGGATTATGAGAATCAACAACTGCGCGCAAATGCTGACTCTGCCCAGGACAATTCCAAGCGTCTCGAGGTCCTCCTGGTCGATCAAAAACATACAGCGAGTAGAATCGCCGAGTTGGAATCGCTCGTTAGGACCACGGAGCGCACCGTCAGCGAGCGAGACTCGACGATTGAAGCTCTGGAGCGCGCCGCACAGCAGATGTCTCTGAATATCGACAAAGCGAAGAACGACGCCGAAGCGCGAGTACGGGACATCCAGACGAAGCTCGACGATCGGGATGCATTAGTCGCAAACCTGAAGGAGGCTCTCCAGACGAAGGAGGGCCTTCAGAGCGAGAACGATGCCGTCTTGGGTGCCAAAGACGCAGAGATCTCGCTGCTGGAGACTCGGGTGCAGAAAGCGTACGGTGATCTCGAGGACGAACGCCGAGAACTTGGTCATCAGGTTGATGAGCTGCGCAAGGCTGGACAGGTTCGTCCTCGCGCAGGCTCTGTGACAATATCTTACAGTCCGTTCAGGAAACCATCGCCTTGTATGAAGAGCGTCTGAGTGCCGCAGACACCCGACGTTACGAGCTCGAAGACCTGGTCGCCAATCTTGAGGAACAGCTTCGGACACAGACTCAGCCTCTATCACCACTTGCGGCGCAGCGTCAGGCTGCCTCTGCTGTGGAGATCGACAACGAAAGCCTCCGCGAGCAGGTGCAGCATCTCCTGAAGCGGATAGGTATGCTCGAGGACCAACTCGAGGAGGCACACACGACGTTCGATCGAGAAGAGGCAGCAGTGCGCGAGAGAGTGAAACGGTACAAGGAAAGGGAGGAGAACATGCGTAAGGAGCTGGCCGAAAGCAAGAAACAGGTGGATCAGGTTGCCAAGTCAGAAGGAGCCGCCCGGCAACGGGTGGAAGAGATGGAGGAGGCGTTGCGAGAGAACACAGTGGCCCTCGAGAATGCCCGTGCCGAGATTGAAGGCCTCAGAAATGAGATAGCGGTAGGCCATCCTTCGTATCTCATGCGACCTGAATACTGAACTATCTTGCGTAGGATTTGGAAGGTCTCACAGCCAGTAACTCTTCGGAGAAGGTGGCTGAGATTGCACAGCGATCCAGTCAAGAACGCGCCCGTCTCAACGAGGAAATTGCCTCGCTCAGGCAAAAACTCACGGACCTGCAAAGCCAACACCAGCAGCCTGATGGGGACACGGGAGAGTTGTATGAGCAGAACCGCGCTCTCAAATCCACCATTGATCTCGTACGCCCCCTTCCATCATATGTGTCCAGATAACTGATGTTTGCTATCTTACAGTTGCAATCAGAATGCGACAAGCGGGAAGCGGAGCTAGTCGCCCTGCGTCAGGCCCTTGCAGATCTCGAGGTGTTGGTGGAAGAGCGTACCACCGAGCTGGAAAGTGTGCGCAAGAAGGTCAGTCGCGATACCGCTGTGAATGGCGGCGACTCCGGCAAAGTCACACCATCGAAGCACGACCTCACCAACGCTCGGGAGGAGATCACTGGCCTGAAGTGCGTTTGCTGTCACCCGCGACAATTGAAACAACTCAGATTTTCGCATTAGGCATATCGTTCAAGAGCTTCAGAAGGAAAACTCTGCGGCTGCTCAGCGAAACAAGGTCCTAGAGTCAGAGAATAAACTCTTATTGACGGAAACAGAACAGCTTCGTCAGGTGGGGGCAGTTCACTATGTGTCAGTATACTTCATTAAATGCATCTGAGCTCAGGATCTCAAGGTGCTCGAGGAGAGTGTGGAGCAGAGTATCATGCGAGAAGAACAGGCTCTGGCGTCTGGGACTGACGCTTCGGTTTCATCTGGCTCCACAGAAAGCGCAACACTACAGTGGAAATACGAAGTATGTGTCCTGCTTGACATTCGTAATTGGTGCTACAGCTCTTCTTGCATAGGCCGAGATGGAACAGCTGCGTAAGAAGCAAGCGGAGGCTGATATGAAGAGCGCTCGGACAATACATGATGTATGTCGCCCACATAGCGGCGCGGACAACGCTAACAGGCCCCTGCAGCTCAACAAGGAGATAGGAGAGCTAGAGACCCTCGTGGAATCCAAGATCTATCGCGAGGTACGATTGTGCTTATTTGGCGAAATCGTATCTGAAGTTCATCTGCACAGGATGAACTCGAACGAGAACTGGAGCGGCTCCGCGACAAAGTAGCGCGATCGCAAAGGAAAGCGTCTAAAACTTCGACTGAACCAACTACGCCAAACGCTGCTATCACCAGCGATGGCAACTTACCGAATACTAGCGTCATCGAAAACTCCCAAGATGTCTGTGAGATCTGCGAGCGCCCAGGACACGATATTTTCTCTTGCGATCTTCTCAAGGATGGTATGCCTTCTGCTGATTCAGTACGATCCAGTACTGCTGTCCTGGAGGAGTTATACTGCGAAGACTGTGAAGGAAGGGGCCACACTGCTGCAAATTGCCCACACTCATTGGATGTCTTCTGAACATGGCAAGCCATCCTTGTTTGCATCCACTATCATTAGTTGATAATCTCGCTCAAACTGTTTTGAATATTGTAGCTGGTGTTATCAATAGCTTCTGGCTTGATTTTTGTAATGGCTCCAATTCACACTCACTATACCCCTTACTCTTTACCTGCATGTAACTTGGCTATCAATGTCAGTCATCCCTACTGTGATCATCAAGGAATTTAATGTTCATGAAATCAGATCACTTTACACAACTGTAGCAATAGGATACACTACTATAGAAGCAGCTGATTTGCCAGTATTTGCCTGCTGCCTACAGATTGTTGTGCCATAAAAGGAACTACAGCTCACCTGATTGGGTGATGATGTCACAAAGATGCTTTTGCGACAGCAAGATGCTTCCATGGTTGTTCAGAGATGGGCATTGTCTCTTCATCAGCAAATACCTAGATAGCCTAAGCCATCTATAGAAGAGGCCATGTGCTCTATTACTGATTTTGGATGTCTTGAACATGAGTATATTAAGGCACCTGAAGCTGGTGTGAGAGACTACATTTCACCTCAAGAAGTGCACTTTATCCTTACTGTACCATAGTTTATGTAGTTGAATTACACTAAAGGTCTACAAGTTCAGCTAAGCAAATAATACAATTTGATACTACTAGTACTGTACAAGGCTCCAAGTATAACCACTTTCACATATAACTACTTTGCATGTGTATGTATTTTACAATCCCTGAGGTACAAAGGTATCATTCATGATGGACAGGCCTGAAACACTTCCAGTGGTGCCTGATGTGGCAGTTTCTTCCCACAGGTACAGTCATTTGCCCCCAGCTTACCATGTATAGTTAACATTTGTTATGGTCAGTTATCAGAGTTCAAAATTTTCAGACTCCCAGATGACATGACTTGCACCAACACCACCAAACAAATGCTGAATCCAAGAAACACTTCCTGTCTAGGTATTTCTGTTTGGTGTTCTGTTGATTAGAGTAGTATTATTAGAGAGGACTTGAATAGTACTATACGAGACATGAGACATGAGCTAAGTAATGGGAAACATTGCAATGGGAGAGTGGGGTAGACCACCGCGTGATCTTCGAGAGTATTAGGGGTGAGAGAGATGAGTGTAAGTAGTAACAAGTGCAGGGTGCAGCCTGCCAGACCCAAAACAAACCACTGGGACCTGTGGGTACGGATGAGCTGTGAGGGTAGGCAAGACAACTGCAGCCACTTCATAGTGTGATCCTTCACAGGTTGTGGGAGGAGGCATGTTGAGCCAATGAACTGAAAGGGGAATGCACTTGCCTGAGAGCTGGGAAGCAAGTGGTGAGAAAAGTGGAGAGGGAGGGATGGGTGAGTGAAAAAATGACCAAGGATGAAATCAAAGCTCTAGGGTGCTTCATTGGAGTTCAGACGTGGGCATGCAAAGAGAGAGTGATGCATACCTAAGCCCTGACTTCCTTACCTAGACTAAGCCCTGCTTGTTCTTGGCCAACTGTACCTGAGCTGCCCTGTCACCATGTCTGGGACATTATGCACTGTCTCAAAACACTGAACAAAAATACTACTTTACTAGTGGGAGATTGTTGTATCATGGAATCTGTCTAGGGACAGTTAGTAACTCAATAATGACAATGATCACAAACAATTGTATCATTTGGGCTGAGTAAGTCATACTTCCCTACAAATTGATACTACATTGGCCTAGACCTGTCAATGTTAGAGTCTGTTCATGTCAACCATGCTGATTTTGGTACACTCATGATACCACCTCTTCATGAATTGTGGCTCATGCTATGAGAAAACAGTAAGTCACACATTCTCAATGCAGTATACTGGAATGATCATCTGCATTCCTCTCCTCATCCCTTATCCTGACATCACTCCATGTTACTGTCAATCCAGGTATATGTAGCAATCTGCTAAATGCATTAGGTGGGCACCTACTGTTCAAAAGGTGCCTCACAATTTACCCTAAGGAGTCCACATTGCTAACAAATGAGGGCATCCACAGGTTATCAAAGCTATGTTACTTCCAGGCTCCTAAAACCATCCGTCCACAGCGTTCTCGTTCGTACATGTTGCTGGGGATTTTATGCTTAGTCCGAAAATAGAAATTAGACACTTTGATGTTTTGACTTACTATATGTGGAATCCTACTAGCTGAGAAATGGCGAAGAGAACACTGTAGGACGGCTGGCCAAACTGGTCCCCGAGGCATCGCCGAGCCTCAGCTCGTCGCAGTAACTCGGGGGTGTACCCCTAGCTTAGGTTTTATTTTCCGTGTTTCTGTCTGCGTCGCGTAATTGTCCAAGTCCGAGCAACACCTCACCGCATTTGGTCATTATACAATCGATCTCTTTCAATTGTCTCTAGCCACGAACTACTGCTTCAAAATATTCATGAGCTGGTCAATCAAACGAATACGCGACCTCGTGAAGATCAGGTTCAAGAAACGAGCATGTCTCTTCCAGATCAAGGTCGCACGCGCTCTCAGGGAGAGACAAAATGATGTTGTTGCTATTGCAGCGACTGGTTCAGGAAAGACCCTCTCATTTTGGATCCCACTTCTCATGGCTCTCGAAGACAAAGAGGACAAGTGCATCATAATTGTCACACCTCTGAACCTTCTCGGCAAACAGAACATCGATCTGTTGAGTGCGGCGGGCCTCTCTGGGATAGCTATCGATAGAAGGAATGCAACAGACGAAACATTCCGAGTGAGTCTACTACAGCCCACAGTTTCAATCTGAACAGCACAGACAATGACATTTCATAGGACATAATTGCTGGGAAGTACCATATGATGGTCATCAACCCGGAAATCCTCATGCAGGAAGGCGGCCATTGCGAAGGACTTTGGAAGACCAAGTCATTCACATCTCGCCTTCTTTACATGGTCTTTGATGAAGGCCATTGCATACACGAGTGGAATTCGTTCCGAGAACAGTACAAATATCTTGGGAGTCTTCGCCAACTCATTCCCGAGACTGTTCCCTTCTACGTCACGTCTGCTACACTGCCAGACCCTCTCCTTGCGGATGTTGCTGAGATCTTACAGCTCCACAAAGGGCAAACCGAGCACATCTTCCGCTCCAATGATTGCCCTGATATCGCACTCAGCGTTCGTCAAATGGAACATGCCGCACATACCTTTCGAGATCTAGAATTCCTGATCGCATCGGACTTCAAGGAAGGTGACATACTGCCTCCGAAATTCCTCGTTTTCTGCAACTCTGTCAAAGAGACCGAGGCGGTATGCAGGTACCTTCGCTCACGACTTCCGAAGGCCCTACAACGCGACAAGATCAGATACTTCCATGCGAGCATGTCAACATTCTTCCGGATTGACGAATTCGAAGCCTTCAGGGATGGCAACACCTTTGGTCTCTGTGTCACTGATGCATTTGGGATGGTACGTGAGATGTCGGCTTCATTGAATGTTGCATTACATAATATATCTAACCCGATGGCAGGGCCTCGACCTCACCGGTATACAGGTGATCGTGCAGTGGAAAACACCAATGAGCATGAACACCCTCTGGCAGAGGTTTGGGCGAGCTGCGAGGGGACCTGGCGAATACACCTTTGCATTCCTCATAGCCGAGAAGCAGTATTTCGATGAGGAGGTCCAGAAGAAACTCAATGCGAAGGAGAAGAAGCGAGAGCGGGAGATGCGAAAGAGACAGAAGAACATCACTCGGGACTCACCACAGAAGAAGAAAGCAAAGCCCAACCCAAATGATCGTCCTCGTCCATCTACAAGTAGTGCCATTCCTCCTCTCGCCGCACCCACAATCGCGGTTCAAGTCACAGATGTTGAGCATGCTTCGGTCTCCCAGCTTGGAAGTGGCAGTGATGCGGACGACTCTGACAGTAACAGCGTGAACGCGGGTGGCCCTTCTGGCAGCTCGGGGGCAGCTGTTGCTGACTCAGAGCCTGCTGAGTCCCTTGCTGATTGGCGCCGTGCAGAAGACGAGGAGCGGAGGCGCTTGTACAACAAACCCAGCGAAGGACAACCAACCGGTGTCACAGTCCCAAAGAAAGACAAAGGGGAGCGCACGCCTCAGCCGGCGATTCTCGACTTCATCAACGCAGACGTTCGCAATATTGGTTGTCGAAGGAGGGTCATGACATTAGTGTATTCAAACGATAAGCACAGTGAGCTTGTAATCTGTACCGCACGCACGCCACTGTTCTCACGCTCCCCCTCACAGCCTTTGACCACAGGGAGTGCGATGACAACTTACCTTCTGGTTGCTCACGCTGCGCTCCGATGACCTCGATTGTATGCTGCGACCTATGCGACCCCACTGCATTTGCCGAACTCACAATCTCGGGCACTCGATCAACCCGCGCACTACGGAAGTCGACGATCAAGAAATACAATCCAGCTCAACAAGAGAGGGACCTCCGGCACGCTCTCCTGAAGTGGCGGGACGAGGAAACAGTTCGAGTAGTCGGGGCTGCCGCGCAACATATTCACGGAAGCAGTGTTACCCTCCCACTTCCCATCCTTCAATGTATTGTCGACTGTGCTCAGGCTGGTAAGCTTGCATCGACGGAGGACTTCAAGCACAAAGTTCAGGTACGGGCCGATTGGGCAAATCAATATATGAGCACTATACTCGAAATCGTCTGCCAGATCTACCCCCCTGTAGCGGCCTCGGAGGAGCAGCCAGCCACGGTGCCATCTGCTGCCAGTGGTGCTCCTAGTCACCTACCGCTGGACTCGCCCGCAGCCGCCTCAAGTAGTAGTACCAGGCAGACAAAGACATGGCAGCCACGAAAGCGGCCGACCTGTAGTGTTTGTGGACAAGTCGGGCACATCAGTGAGTGTAGTGCTTCTGTGCCCCTACATGTACTGATAGTAACTTGAATGTTCGGTCTTGATACGATAGACCACAACAAAAACTGCCCAGCTCGTATTGCAGCGACTTAGCATTGTTGTACAGACAGTGACTCGGACATCCGGGTAAGCTATATTATGCAACTGCAGACCTACAGGCTACGCCGCATCACTAAGTCATACATCTAGATCACCACCATCCGCATTGATCTCAGGCTCGTCTTCCACAGCGACATCCGCAGTTGGACCAGTGACCCCATCGTCCCCACTATTCCACCCCGATGTGACCATTTTCAGTAATCCTGTCTCCGACGCATCCACCATTGTGTACGAGCTTGTGCGACCTGCGATCATACTGTGCGTCTTCGTGTTTTGCATGTAGCGAGCCAATTTGCGGAACGTGTGCTGTAGCTTTGGTGGCGAGTGTTTGTATGTTCTGTGTTCTAACGCGAACATGTCCTCGAGGCTGATTCGAATGTTCTTGAACACTTCGACGAGTGCAGACTCTTTCATGATGTGGCACTTTGTACGGTTCGAGAACTGGCCTCCGTATATTTGCTGCAATCGCAGTGCAATGATTAGCTAACACCATTCAAGTGTCGATGTAATGTACCTTTATATAGAGATTGTTGTGTTCGACCCACCAGTCAATTGCGCGGAAGTGGTTTTTCTTTCCAGTTGGGTTACATAAGATGTTCATACGGATCACTTGTCTGATGTGTCAATGTCGCAGAGCCAGGTGAGTACTGTCTTGAATAACAGTGCAATGTCGGATGACTCACCGAAGTTTGGCAGGATAGACGAAGTGTAGATCGTGCACGAAACGCACCATTTGGGTCGCGTATTTGTGCTTTCCACAGCCTTTGAAGATGAAGACCGATGGCATGAAGCAGTCCTCGACTCGCCCTATATCACCTACGTTCATACTCCATGCCAGCTCCTCGTACAGGAGGAAATAGCGCTCGCGCATACATGTGTTCTCGAACTGTACAGATCGCGGCCGGATTGTGTTGCACCTCGGACATGTCTGTGTTGGCGACATATTTCTTCACAAGTACATTTGCAATCTCTTCGATGTCATCCATGGAAGGCGCTGACTTTGCCCATGCATCAAGCGACGTGAAGGACGGGTCGCGCAATGACACCTCCTCCCGCCAGCAATCGAGACGCGAGACAGCGCCTACGTGCTGAACGATCTCGTGCATGCGTCGGAAGCCAGGTTTGCTCCCGATCTTTCCCGTCTCCTTGGGTCGAATCTCAGCAGCTTGCTTCATTAGACTTGTTTCGTCTTGCCGTGCCAGTTTGGGATAAATGAAGATCTTCCAGATTGCGTCGACACACGCCATCTTCAAGTGGAAGAGCCCGATGATAAAGATCACGAGCTGGAACCTGCGGAATGCTGTTTTCTCCTCTCCACGCGACTGGCGCAGGCTCTGAACGCGCTCGCATGTTGCAAGATCACCGTGTACGAGGACAACATGGTCCCCTACATCATGCCTGTGCGCCTGTTCCTCGTCGTCTAGATCTGTTGGATCCCCGATTCCTGCCTGCTTGAACAAGGTATTTAGTGCCTCAATGTTGCCTTGAACCGAAGACTGATTGATGTCCATGGCTTCAGCAGGCACCTTTCGTGATTTGACCAGGGGAATATGATCGATCGCGTCGGGCTCATCGAGTTTCGCCAGGAATTGGCGGAAGTATTCTGGACCGTGGACAAAGAGATCGTGTTTGAACACCCAAGTGTTAAAACGCTCTCGGCAATCGAGACCGGAAGGGTGACTGTTTTGGGGATACAGGGTGAGCAATTCTTTCCAATCAATTTCTTCGGCTCCTTTCGTGCTTTCTGGGTTGTATGGCGACTCCTTCCACAGGTCATCCGAACATTGAAGGTCTCCAAGGGTCGCGCCGTGGTCGAGAGGGATGAAAGTGCCCGACGTCATATGTAATAGTGAGTCATGCGGCTTCTCAGCAGTTGGAACAACATGCTTGAGCTCGACGTCGAAGTTATCGTAGGCAATGGAGGTTAGCATTGTACATCCTAAACGTTTCATTGCCGCCGCCGACTCTTTTGACAGGTTCGTGATTGCGTCGTCAATTGCGGTGCGCGAGATGGCAACGCCAATGCGCGCGAGAAGATCCACCACAGCTTCAGGTGCATTGCAAGAATGGAGGTAAAGACCTATGACACTTTGCAGTGCGTTTGACCGTTGATTCGTACTCTGCATCATCAGGCTCATGCAGAGCGTTCGTTTCTATAGACATGATGATTCCTGTGAGTACTTGCTACTCACACATCTATTCAAACAACACTCACCATTTTGAGGATTGCTTCGTAGTGTTCCTCTTCCATGTACGGGTCCATCATACTCTCTGGATCATCGGGATCCTCGAGCAGAGGCTCCAGCCCATCAAAGTATTCGTCTTCATCATTGCCCTCACCATTGTCATCACCATCGTCATCGTCATCGACCTCACCATTGTCATCGCCCCCGACATCCTCTTCATCATCATACTCCTCTACATCCAGCATATCGAAGTCGACGTCCATATCCAATAGCTCCGACCAGTACTCCTCCGCCGGCCCCGGCGCCGGGTCTTCTTCCTGCGGGAACTGCGGGAGCTGCGCCCACAATCCCGCGTCGCTATCAACCGGCGAATCGGACGGTCTGTTTTTGGGTACGTTGTCCTCTGCGACCGCGCTATTCGAGCTGACGATGTCCGGTGCTGTGACCAGATTTGCAGGGCATGGGTGCTCGCGAGCCTCGCGCTCACGTCTTTTTGCGCGACATCGCTTGCGTCGCCGCTTGTGTCGCCGTCTCGTTAGTACAGGGTCTGCACTAAGTAGACCATCGACGAGATCACAGACATGGGGAGCCAAAGACGTGAGCTTCTCCACGAGTCCGACAAGTTCGAAGCCTTCCAGGTCCGCTTCTGTTGCCCAGTGTGCATTAAAGTGCATGCCTGCCTCCTTCTTCGACACGGATGCTAGCTCACTCATGTACATCGTCTTCGCGAGGCGGTGTATCGAAGCAGACATTGAGTCGTGCACGCGTGGGTTCTCGTGGAACACTAGCAAGATGTTCACAAGGTTGTTACCTATGTTCTCAATTGCTTCATCAACCACGTCGTCCCTGGAACACAAGACAGACACTATGAAGTCGGACACAGTGACCCCGGACTCTTGAAATGCATCGAGGATGTTCCGTAGCTGAGGAGTAGACAGTCGGGGCATGCCAAAAGCTGTATGGTGGCAGGGAATGGAATTGAACTCGAATGCAATTCACAGACTCGAACGAAAACTGAACATGCGGATACAACGTGTACAGACATGCTACTTATAGAGCGGTGCAGCGACCGCGCGGGGCATTATCCAACACTTAGGGCACGAACGCGCAATGCTTACATAAACAAATCGACTCAGGCTACGCGACGCAGACAGAAACACGGAAAATAAAACCTAAGCTAGGGGTACACCCCCGAGTTACTGCGACGAGCTGAGGCTCGGCGATGCCTCAGGGACCAGTTTGGCCAGCCGTCCTACAGTGTTCTCTTCGTCATTTCTCGGCTAGTAGGATTCCACATATAGTAAGTGTAACGGGTCTATTTGGGGGTCATCAAGACCTACCCGTTATAGTATATCTTATCATGTATGTTTGGCTATGTTTGCTCTCTCGTCTCGTATGGCGCGCCAGCGCACTTACCTTAGCCTCAACTACCTCACTATTACTGCCTAAAGATGCCCTATGCGTATACAATACTCTCCTGAATAGAGATTGGATACACTGCATCTGCGGGCGTGATTTGAGTACGTTACACTTTTTTGCAGTCCTCTGCTTCTCTCGAACAGACTTCTATTCTGGGGAACTACTACTGGCAACAAACTCTACAACTCTCGAACTTGAACTCGAACCTATGCTTTTTTGGAACACTCTAGTCGACCTCGCAATATCTCAAGAATATGGCCGAGTGACAACCAACACTTCCGAGCCCACGCGCAGCAGCCGCGGGTCCCGAAGTGGAACCCGCAGCAGGCTGAAGGCGTTGCGCGCGGAAATCCGAGCTAAGCTCGCCGCGAGTCAAGAGCGGCTGAACGAAGTGCTCGCGGAATCCATCGCAAGTCAACAGCGAATGGAGGCTGCCCTCGTAGAGGCAGCCGCGAGCCAACAGCGGATCAACTCCGCTCTCGAGGAGTCACAGCAACTCCAAACGGACTTGCTGGAATCGGTCGACAACGCGTTGACCGAGGCCAGCAGCCGTAGCAGGTCTTCCCGCTGAAGACCGCCGGACTGAGTCCTCCGACCCAGAGAACTCAGCCGGAGCACTCACGGAGCTGGTAGCATCCGACCGCAAGGTCGAATGCGCACCGCGCTCTGAGCAGCTCAAGCCCGAAGTCGAGCTTGCTCAGAGCCGCCCGGAGATCCCGTCTCCGCCTGCTCCAGCCCAGCCGACGAAGCTCGGCACCACTGTCAAGAGTGGTGCACGCGCTAGGCTCGACGGCGCCACCGTCGCCGAGCCTGAGCCCGAGTTCAACGAGCGAGAGGTCGAGCCGACCCGTATCCGCGCCCGAGAAGGGATAGGTACACAACTCAACGGTGTGCCCAGCGAGAACGGGACGGAACTCGCAAGTTCACGCGTCGCGCGCTCAGAAATGAGCCGCGACATAAAACATATTATATTCGAGTCGAGCAACGCGCTCGACGTGAGCAACGACGCGCTCGACACGGCCGGCGATGCGCTTGACACGAGAAGTGTTGAGCGTCACGAGCCCGTGTCGGCGGTGAGCGCTCAGAGAGCTAGCGCCCAACGCTCTGCCTGCTCTCGACCGCCACCACCTCGCCGACGACCTCCCTCCGGGCACCTGTCTCGACCGCCAGAACGCGCATCGAGACGAGTGTTCTGTCCCAACGGGCAGGAACACGCGAATCCGCGACTGGCTGGCTGAACTCCCGTCAGTTCAGTTAGCAGCGCGCGAAGACCCTGCAGGCAACGCAAGACCGCCATCTCCTTCCTCTCCCAGGCCTCCAACTTCATCCGCGAGACCTCTGTTCGATCCCCTCTCCTCTCCTCTCTACCCTGGCGACTTCTATCCGGATCTTTGCGACCCAGGCGACACGCAACAAAGCCGCGCGGCCCAGGACTCGCACAACGCGCGTGCAAGTCCAGCGCCGAGCCACAAGGTCGCTCAGGCCACCGAGAACGCCGCGAAAGGGACGCAGAAGGAGGAAGGGGAGAAGGGGAGGAAGAGAGAGGAGGGGAAGGGCACGGGACGAGCATGGAAAACGAGCATGACAGCTCAAAAACCGCAGGTACGCCTTCGCTGGCCGTCCCTGCCTCGCCGCCTCCGCTCCCAGTGCCCGCGCCAGCAGGCGTATCGACGAACGAGAAGCTCGTCGTGCATCCTGCTGGTCACCAAGACAGCACCTCCGCTTTCTGGGACGACTCATACGTCGTACCCACCGCCTTGGACGGTACCACGGCAGACGCACAGAGCTGCGCGTCCGACGTGCCCGTTCCATCACTACTGCCCGCGCCAGCAGGCGTATCGACGCACGAGAAGTCCGTCGTGCACTCTGCTGGCCACGAAGACGGCTCTTCCGTCTTCCGGGACAACCTCATGGTCGTACCCGACGTTCTGCAGGGCAACACGTCGGATGCGCATCGCTGCACGTCTGACGTGCCCCGTTTTTCTACGAACCGCCGCACAGTAGGTACATCGAGCATACTACTCGATGTACAGGCTGTCGACGAGGACGATGCTGCGCTCGGTGTACTAGCAAGTGTACCCGGCGTGCTCGTCGAATTGTCAGGTGCGAGTGACGGTCCCGAGGTACACCCTGCGAAGGTGCACCCGGTACGCACGTCACCGGTTCCAGTGCCCAAGTCGAGAAGTAGCACGATGGACAACAAGACCGTCGCGCACTTCTCTGACGTCCAAGTCGGCGCACTGGACCTGAGCAGGAGCACGACCACTGTGTCTGCTGCTCCCACTTCGCAAGACGACGCGTCTGGAGAGTCTCCAAGCTCTACCAGACCGTCTCTTCCTATTCTTCTACCACAGCACGCTGCGGATACGTCAAGCCTACTGCTTGATGTATCCGCCGCTGCTCCTTCTCTGAACGCGCGCGATGTACGACCGTCCGTACTCGCCGCCAATCATCACGCCCCTACTTGGCGTAACGGCGCACCCGGAGAACGCAGTAGTTCTACTGGGTCGTCTCTTTCTCTTTCTACACCACCTCGTGCTAGGTGTACGTCGAGTCCATCACCCGATGTACACACAGCCGACTTACAGGACGCGTGCGATGCACCTTCAAGCGTGCTCGCCGCGACTCCTCAAGCTTCCACTCTTCGTGCGACGAGTACGTCGGGCTCAAGGCTTGATGTATTACTCGCCGTCGAGACTGGTAACGCGTGCAACGCGCTGGCCAACGAGCCCAGCGGCGTCATGACGCACGACGTGTTCGACGTGCCGACCGGGACGATCGACATGTCTTCTTATTTTACTACAAGACCTGCTCATCGTACAATGAGCACGCCAGGCTCAAGGCTTGATGTGCTCACTGTCGACGAGCCCAGCAACACGCGCGAGACACGCCCAAACGTGCTCGCCGCGGATTTGAAACCCCACGTACTAGGTACGTCGAGCAACAGCTCGCTCGACGTACACTGTATTATTCCAATTCCTTCTGCAATTTCGGAGGAGGGGGAAGGGACCGTCCACGGTTTTGAGTCCGAGCATCAAGACACAAGACACGCAGGTCATATGCGAAGGATCCTGACCGACGTGCAGAGAAGCATGTCGGTCAGCCTATCGACACCTAGTGTACCTGTGGTGCTCGCTGCGTCCAACGATGCGACTAGCGTGCGATCGAGCACGCTCGGCGTGTCCACCTCCATCGTCAAGACAGGTCTGTCGAGCACACAGAGCTCGTCAGCCAACGTACTCGACGAGACCGACCTGGACAAGTGCTCGACGAAGGACAGTACATCCAACCTGAAGGATGTACTGAGTTCGTCAGCAGCCTCCTTGCTCCACGTACACGACAAGGCTGAACCTTGCGACCAGGCCGTCGCCAACGTACCCAGAAGCACGTCGGCCACGCCTAGCTCGTCAAGACACAAGGCTAGCCTGGTCAATACCCCGTCCAACAATGCAGACAGTGTGCGATCAAGCATGGCTGTCGCGTCCTCCTACATCAAGATGCCATCGTCGAGTACAACGAGCCTCGCACTCACTGTACACGGCGAGGCCTACACCCACGAGGACGATGCAATCGACGCGCTCAGAAGCACGTCCACCAGTTCATCGACATCGCTGCCCGCATTGGTTTCGGCAACACGTGAGGCTCACGACGGGTCTGACAAGATAGACCAGCGCGAGCCTGAAGGCGTGAAGACCCGGCCTCTGGGCTTGTCATCTGGCACACGGACCCGCAAGGACTCTACGTCCCTTGCAGGCTGTGTCGATGATGAAGACGTGCGCGAGCACGAAGCTCCGTCGATGGTTCTGCAACCAGACCTGTCATCTGGTACACGGACCCGCAAGGACTTGGTGTCCACGGCAGGCCGTGTCGATGGCAAAGACACACGTCCATGCAGGTCCGACCTCAACGTGTCTGCATCGAGTCGCTATGTGTCGGGTACCCGCCGCACGTACGAGGACCCAACCTTGTGCGTGCGTGGTACGCTTACCTCCATATCGGAGACCAGGCCCTGCGATGCGACCGGTGTGCAATCAAGCACGACCAGCGCGTTGTGGGGTAGGCCCACATGCCAGGAGCCCTGGCGCGAGCCTCAATACAACGCACACACGGTCAAAGCAAGAAAAAGAGGAGCGCAGTAACATTAACACACGACGCATGCGGAGGCTACTGTACACGAACAGCAGGCTCCTCCGCCACCTCATCCTCGACCTCTCCCTCCTCCATCGCCTCGACGTCCCAAGGGTGCGCGAACTGCAAGCGACGCGGTATCCCCAAATAACCATCGGGAACGTACACTCCTTCCGATAAGCGAGCATGCAAGTCCCGGACGCTGGTCTTGACCGAACTCAGACCCCGGGCGATACGGATAGCCTCGGAACGAGCATCACGATTAGCGGTGCGGCACTCGTCCAGGAGGCCTTGGAACCGGGTCAATAGACCATCGAGGCTGTCGGAAGAGGCACGGAAGGAAGATAACTGCATGGGACACTCCAGGTACCGAACCGGAAGGAGCGGGCGGCCGAGCTCAGCGTCGGATTGCTCGGCGGTGACACGGTTTGGAGCCCAGGCGATCAACGGGTAGGGCTCGCCCACGTAGCTGTGCTGAGACGGGAGAGTCAGGAACACCTAGTTGAGGTATTCGATCAGGTCCTGCACATCGGAGTATCGGCGGACGAGCGGAAGGGAAGCATCGCCGTGGGCGACCGTGCGAGACCAAGAATCGAAGAGCATCCGCTGTGTGGAACAAAGGAAGGTTGGCGAGACATGGAGGACGAGGCGGAAGAAGGCACGTACGATTAGCCATCGGGCGCCATGACTCAATGAGCCCAGGCGAGCCACTCCAGGTCGCTATCGGGGTTCAGACGGGGCTCTACCACTCGCTCGTCCCGAAGGAGGTCGACGAGGCGGTAGAAACGGGTGGTGTAGACAATGGTCGAGGGGTTGGGCGGGATGTCAGCGGGCATCGAGGACTCCAACGACGGTGGGCTGGGGAACGGAAGAGGAGGGCAGGGACGGCGGAAGGAGACCCAAGGGTGCGGAAGGAGTAGGAGCGGAGGGAGGCCCAAGGGCGCGGAAGGAGTAGGAGCGGAAGGGAGCGGGTGCCAGCGAGGTAGGGACGTGGGAAAGGTGGCGGAAGGGGGCTAGGAGGACGGGGCGGAGGAAAGGGGGGAGTTAGTTACCTACCACTACCTCTCAGGACTCAGTATCTAGGTTGCACCGGGCAATCTCAGGCTTCAGGTCTCGTCTCAGGCTCGCGTTCAGGCTAAGGAAGGTCGCAGAAGTTAGGCTCAGGCTCAGGATCGAGGAGAGCTCAGGTTAGGAATGTCGGAGGGAAGGCTATCGAGTATACCAGGCTCAGGAAAGGCAGTCTTCACTAAAGGACAGCGCGGACGAAGTGTGCGGCGCACCACCCCATCTCCCCTTTTCCCTCCGCGAGGTACCACGGACCTCGCTCGCTTCCTCCGCCAACCGTCAACTTGTACCAACGACCCCCGCCCATCGTTTTCACCGATACCAAGAATTCCCTTCCGCATCGTCCACGCACCGGGGACTCGCAATCACCACAGTGTCTGCTTCCACCACCAAAGCCGGACACTGGTCGGGGGTAACCAGTTCGCTGCTGGCACCTCCTTCGCAGCCGACTCTCCCTATCCCGCAGCCGAAGTGCTACACGACGAGCCCGTTGCTCGTCGTGGGTACCTCACGCAGCAATAGCGACCTGTCGGACGCACTCAAGAGCATATCCGACACATCCATCGCCAACGCCATGCCCAGCGACGCGATCGGCATACGATCCAACACGACCTCCAGCTCGGAGACCATGCCCCGCGACGCGTCCAACTGGATCGTCAAGACATACTCGTCTTGTACGGCGAGCCCCTCGCTCACTGTACACGGCGAGCCCAACGCTTGCGATGATACCGCCATCGACGTGCTCAGACGTACGTCAATCGGCTCATCCGCATTGACGTCTGCCACCGCATCGACAACGAAAGAGGCAAGATCGTTGACGCCTATCCTCAATACATCGCCGTTGCATACGTCGAGCTCGTTGCTCAACGTGTCCGGCGCGATGAGCACTCACGATCAGGCCGTAGTCGACGTGCTCAGAAGCTTGCCAACCACACCCAATCCGACAAGGCGCAAGACCAGCCCGGTCAAGGCACCGTCAAGCGACGCAGTCAGCGTGCGATTGAGCACGACCGACTCGTCCACCATCAAGACATTGTCGCCGAGTAAAGCGAGCCCTTTGCTCGCTGCATACGGCGAGACCAACACCGGTGGCAACGCCGCAATCAACGTGCTCAAACGCTCGTCGACCAGCTCATCGACATCGCAGGCTGCACCAGCGTCGACCGCCTCTACGTCAACGGGATGCAAGGTTCCGGATTCGACACTGACCGTGTCGTCCAGCCTCAAGCACTCGGTCATGATGGACAAGAGCCTGGCGAAGGGCAGTACATCCCACTTGAAGGATGTACTGACTTTGTCAGCATCGTCATCAATGAGTACTGTGAATCGCGCGCAAGATGTGCGGTCTCACTTGAGCTCATACGAGCGGTACAGGCCCCCCGCACTACGTGATCAAGCTCCGATCCGTGCGCACAAAGAGTCGACCTCGGACGTGCGCGGTACATCCCCCGTCAAGATGCTGTCGTCAAGCACAGCGAGCTCATCGACACCACTGAACACGTTAGCCTCGACAACACGCGAGGCTCGTGACAAGACCGCCCTGCGCGAGCACGACAGCGTGAAGGAACGCAGTACACCCATTCTGTCGGATGTACTGTCGTCCTCACGTCCGTCAGCTTCGTCGAAGACTAGGAAGCCGGGCAGAGCGTCAGACACCCAAACCAGCAAGTCGGTCAGCTTCTCGACAAACGAGAAGGCTGACAAGGTCAATCTGGACGAGGACGAAGACGAGAAGGGCAGTACACCTGAGCCAGGTGTACTGACTTCTTCACGATCCACGGCTCGTCCGACATCGAGTACGAGTCGACGCAATGGCAATGGCGGAGACCTGCGCGGACGCAAGTCCAACCTCGACACATCTGTGTCGAGTCCCTACACGTCAGGTACCCGCCGCACGTACGAGGAACCGACCTCGCACGCGCGCACGACCTCGACCACCAAGACCGCCAAGCGGGTCGTCGAGCAATCGACGAGGCACAGTACGCCCGAGTCGCCGGACGTACTGACCTCATCGTACTCGATGGCTGAGCTGGAATCAAGACGCCTGGCGCTCATCGCCTGATACTCGTCAGCTAGCAAGTGGGCGAGTACAAGTACAAGTACAGCACAGACTGAGTCACCACGAGCCCATTCAGTGGAAAACCTCGCTGTTAACGGTACAGCCGGAGTGCATTTTGACCGTTGCAAACGGTAGAGCCGCCTCCGGCCGGAGTAGTCCGGGTCTACTGTTAGCAACAATGCACCGCTTGCAACAGGCCGGCCGGGCTTTTGGCTGAGGCAATGTACCTGTTGTAAACAGTCCGGTCATAGAGGCAACAGTCCAGCCAGACCCATACAGCATCACTGCAAACAGGCCGGGTGGAGGGCAGGGTTAGCACACACAACGGAGCGGCCGGCCGGTCCACGTTGCAAACAGAGTGGCCGGACTCAGGCCCCACCACTTTAAATGTTCCGCCGGGATAAAATCCTTTCATTGCAAGCGGACTGGCCAGAGTGAAATCTATCTGGTCCAGGATGGGTTCTCCAGCCTAAACAAACTGAGTCCACAAACAGGCCGGCCGGGCAGGAGTTGTCCTGCTTCAAACGGTCCGGCCGGTCACAGTCCCCTGGGGGCTATTGAAATACTATATGTGGTATTATGCACCTATGGGGTATACCATCATTAGTAGATCACAGCATAATTTTCCCATGACTTAGGGATGCCTAGTGAAGCTGCAAAACACAAAAGAGCCCCACTGGCTGGCCAAATCAACTGGCCAGAGATTTCACTCACCCAGGTTTTGGCTTTACTGGCCATAAAATTAGCCAGGTTGTCCCTACAGGGCCAAATCAATAGGCCAGACATTTCAAACCATTGGCCGGGCATTTTAGTTCATTGGCCGAAGCTTTCAATTCACTGGCCGAAGCTTTTACTTCATTGGCCGAAGCTTTCCTTCACCGCCGAAGCTTTGGATTGACCGGCCGGCTGAAGCTTCTACTTCACCGGCCGGCAAAAACAGCCGGTGCTCGGCAAAACTGGCCGCCGGTGCGCAAAAATGGCCGGCAGGCAGGCAAAACCGGCCGGGCTGTTGAATTACTATATGTGGAAATGTGGTATTGTCTGGAAGCCCTTCATTCATAGAGTCTAGTATTGATTTCCTAGTGTCCAAAGGTACATAGTTAGGCCAGGATATGCGAGACAAGATTTACTCACAGGCTTCTTTGCAAAACATGTTATTCAACTGCTGAAGCCAATATTCTTTGCCCACACTGTTTGACTATCTAGAATGTGTTATTTCAATGCATAGAGTAGATTCCCAAAAGGAATAGTCTTATTCTTCGAAGCTGAATGCAGAACATGAGATAAGGGGTAAGGTATAGTATACATGTCAAACAATGTTGACTTCCTGCAGCCAATCTACATTCCAAACACAGTTTCACAATCTAGAATGGTTCATTTACACACAAGGAGTGAGTCGTCCAAAGGAATAGTCTTATTCACATGAGCTGAATGTGGTACAGAGTTAAGGGATCATGCACAGGCCGGAGCATCTCCTATGAGGATTGGCCGGCCGGACCATTACCAACAGTGGGTAGATGTTTCTGTGCCATTCTTGATTGCCAAACCTTGTGGGCAAAGCATATTGGCTTCAGGATGTGAACACAGTATAACATGTATACCCATATACCCACCCTCACCTTAACTCTGTGCTGCCTTCAGCTTGTGTGAATAAGACTATTCCTTTGGAGGACTGATTCCTTGTGGGTCAATGAACTATTCTAGATGGTAAAACACTGTTTGGAAAGAACATTAGCTGCAGCATGTATACCATACCTGTATACCCCTTATTTGTTGTCCTGCATTCAGCTTCAAAGAATAAGACTATTCCTTTTGGGGATCTACTCTATGCATTGTGATAACACATTCTAGATTGTCAAACAGTGTGGGCAAAGAATATTGGCTTCAGGAATTGAATAACATGTTGTGCAAAGAAGCCTGTGAGTAGTAAATCTTGTCTTGCATATCCTGGCCTAACTATGTGTTCTTGAAAACTAGGAAATTGATACTAGACTCTGCGAATGAAGGGCTCCCAGACAATACCACATTTCCACATATAGTAATTCAACAGCCCGGCTGGTTTTGCCCACCGGCCAGCCATTTTTTGCCGAGCACCGGCTGTTTTCGCCGGCCGGTGAAGTAGAAGCTTCGGCCGGTCAATCCAAAGCTTTGGCTGGTGAAGAAAAGCTTTGGCCAATGAAGGAAAAGCTTCGGTCAATGAATAAAAAGCTTCGGCCAATGAACTAAAATGCCCGGCCGATGTTTTGAGATGTCCGGCCATTTAATTTGGCTGGTGGCAGCTTCACTAAGCCCCTTCAAAATGTGGGAACACTATGTTGGGCTCCATTAGTGATGGTCTTACATATACAATCATTCAAATCACACTCTGTATCATAATACAATAGGCCGAAGGTTTTTGAATGCCCTCGGCCAGTGTTTTCATGGCTGGCCAGTGAGCTAACAGCTCAGGCAATGTGATAGGGCATGCACTGTGGACATATAATACATGCTACTAGTAGGCTGTTCTAAGGGAGTATGGTCTATTGTTGACTGGCCCAGCCAATATTGGGTCACAATACTGTTGCCCGGCCGGACCATTACCAATGGATGGTGCCACTGCCCGGCCGGACCGTTACCAGTGTGGAGTGCTAGATTATATGGCCTGGCCAGCCTGCTATCAATGTGGAAAAATGGTCCGGCCGCTCTGTTGCCAGCAAGAGATGATGCAACCCGGCCGGTCTGTTATTAGCCAGGGAGCATGTGCTCCGGCCGGCCCATTGCAACTGGTGAACTATGCACTCCGGCCGGCCCATTACAAATGAAGGATCCCATTTCCTGGCTGGTTCGTTACCATAGGAGAAAGAGTATCCCGGTTGATCTGTTACAATTAAAACCCCTTATTGCCCGGCCGGTCCGTTGCCAGCAAGACACTAAATGGCCCCCCTGTTCAGACAGAAAATAGGTGCCCTAGGGATACACTGGCCGGACCCCGTTTGAACTGGTTTGAGATACGCTCGGCCGGCTTGTTTGAAACCAGTCCGGCCGGCCTGTTTGCAACAAGGAAATCACAGCTCCAACCGGAGGCGGCTCTACCGTTTGCAACGGTCGAAATGCACTCCAGCTGTACCATTAGTATCGAGTAGGTACCACTGAATAATGTGTCACCACGTCCGTCAGACATGGTGGCCACGTCTTCCCGTACGCACACGGACCAGACATCGCGTCCGAGGAGGAACAATATGTCCACGACGGGCATACCGACCTCGTCGCACTCGACAGCAAGGCCGGCGACGTCAACAGAACACTCACGTCCGCTGACGGAACGTGAGCAACCTTCCACGCGACCAGGCTATCGCCGTATCCACGAGGATTCAACCTCGCGTGTACGCGACAAGACTGTTGCCTTCACCGATCACCGGGGAGGTTCGGTCCAAAGGGGGGAAGGGAGCGGCACGGAAAATCGTGACCGGTTGTCTCGGACGAATACCAGTACACATCGTGATGTACTGGGGTCGGAACGAGTAAACGAGTACTCCGCGCCTGCACATGTGGTCCGGACATCAAGCGTGAGGCTTGATGTACAGACCCATGTACCTGCGACGATGTTCTTGAAACCAAGCATGCCGCGTGGTATATTTACCATGCTTGGTACCATCCCAACAGCGGGTACGTGTTCCGAGTACATTGAGTACATTGATGATACTCGGTGGCCGACTGCTGAGCACCTGCGAGCCAAGTGCTTCAGCTTCGTGACCGACCGGTTCGAACTCAAGCTTGCTCAGGCTGCAAAGGCCGAGCAAGCTGGTGACTGGAAGGCATGGGCTGAACTCAAGGTCAGCGGCCTCGACTGGGGACATGTTCTCAATGACATGTCTCCGCGTCCGGAGTCATACACCCGAGCGGCTCCATCAGGAAAAACCTAAGTGGCTTAAAGTGCCTTTTTGAGAAACAAGGTGTTCCAAAAAGCCTTATGGCCCTTATCATGCACCAAAAGCAGTGTAAGCCAAAAATGACTATGCAAGATCTTGCTCACATCGCTGAAGACCTGTAAGTATCGTTACTTGTACCTTAGATCATGTCAATAAAGCCCTCTGAAGCCTGAAAAGCTGCACATGCCATCACTACAGTTCAAATGTGACTTGTGACCCCAAAAATGATGTCTCGTAAGTGCCACATCAGACCTTTGGTGACTTTTGTCAGCATGTCAGATGTTTTGGTTTCATTGTTACGATTTTCATTTTAGTTAGGCAGGACATGCTGCACTTGTTCGAATCACATCCAAATGGATCCATTATAAACTTGTAGAATACATGTGGGACAATATGCATTATTGTACATGGAAGTCGTTAACAGTCGTTTACATTCTGCAGTACTGCCCATGAAGACAACTCGATGCGGGCGACCAGGGGGTGCGCTCCGCACCCCCGACGCTCGGGGGGTGCGCTCGACGCTCGGGGGTGCGCTCGACGCTCGGGACGCTCGACGCGGTGGCGTGCTCGACGCCCGACTGCGTGGAGTGCCGTTGAATTGGGGCCCTGCCAATCACGCAGGTTGGGACACTGGTCCGAGAGTGCCGTGACTTTCTGCACAGGTTTTCAAACCATAGCAGTACAGCTATGCTTTGGTTGGGCGAGTGCGAGATTTGGCAGGCGATCGAGAGCGAACAGGCGGGACAGGCGGCGAGAGTGGAGCGAGAAGGTGCGGAGCGAGAAGGTGCGTGTGGAGAAGGTGCGCGGGCGCGAAGGAGAGCGCACAGGCGGCCGAGACCGTAGGGCAGAGTACGTGCCTACCCGCCAGTGCCCCGAGCTTGACCCGGAACCGTACCTGCCCCGGTTACTGACCCACCGGTACGGTTTGTTTTGTTTGTGCACGGCTCCGTGCGGGGCCGGTTCGCGGGTCCACAGGGTGGAGGGCGTAGCTGGCCGAGGAGACAAGAACGCGCGCAAGAGTGCACATGCGAGAGGATGCGCAGATCCTGGGATGGTGCGCAAGCGAGACGGTGAGCTAGGGAGGCTACAGGCGGGACAGCAAGACGACAGCTTACTGTCGATGTTCTCGAGGTAGAAGCCGCCTGGCCAGATGTTGTCGAGCGAGCCCTCCCGGAAGTACACCCTGCATGGTGGTTCGACTCTGGAGCTACAAGGTCGGTCGGCCGTTAGTAACCCACTCGCATGATGAGGTCCAATTTCTCGCATATCGTGTCACCTTCACGTGGATCGTGAAAAGGCTGCTCGCGAGACCACTGGCGGACACGAAAAAGCTGACGCGCTTGCGCAGCGGGCTCGACGCTCGCGAGGAGCGACACACCACCGTGCCCAGCGCATGCCGAACTCAACCGCGCATTTCCGTTCAGGCGGTATGTAGTGCATGCAGCGTCGATGGCGAGCGAGCGAGACGGCTGGCGAGAGGGACAGCGAGATGGCGAGCGGTGCGAGAAGTCGGGCGTGAGCATGAGAGATCGGGCACGAGATGGCGCGAATGTGGGCACGAGAGGGCAAGCAGGCGGGCGCGAGAGGACAAACAAGCAGGTGCAATAGGATAAGCAGGCGGGCGTGAGAGGGCGGGCAAGCGGGCGGGCGAGAGGGCGTGTGGGCGAGAGGGCATGTGGGCGAGAGGGCGTGCAAGCAGAGTGCACTGACGAACGCGTGGGCATTTGAGCGGACGTGGGCAAGGCACCACCTCCTGGACCGTGGTGACTAGTACCAAGAATTGTCCGTAGGTACGCAGAAGAATACTCACCTTTGCTTTTCGTCTGTCTGCCTTCCTTTTGTTCACCACTCCGACCTCTTGTCCTGCTGTGTTTGCCTTAGTTGCCTGTGTTTGTTGCGCTAGGGCTTGTCGGGCGAGAACGTGCGCGTGAGTAGGCGCGAAGGGCGAAGGCGAGCGGACAGGCGGGCGAGAGCGGACAGGCGGGCGAGAGCGGACAGGCGGGCGAGAAGGTGCGCGTGGATGCGCGTGGAGAAGGTGCGTGTGGAGAAGGTGCGCGTGAGCGGGCGCGAAGGCGAGGACAGTCAATTGTAACATGTCTAATAGCTGACATGCTTACAAGTACTAGCGAGATCTCATTAGAACACCGTCTACTGATTGGCAAGTCCCGTAAGTACCAAGTACCATAAGTATCATTAGCTACCATAGTGTCTGGTATGCGTAAGAACTGGCCCAATTATTGAGTAAAAACTTGGAGGCTTCATCTAGTATAGTATGAGTATTCCATTGCACAGGTAATCTCTCTTCCGCATCACCTACTGAACCCGGGAATCTGGGTATCAACTGACAAGATTGATGTATAGTATGGAGGGGGATAATATCGGCGACTGGATTACCGTCCAAGCGAAGAGGACATTTGTTAACCGAGTACATCATGTGGGTGGGGTCGGCGGAATGTGGGAGCTTTGCGTACCACTCTATGTATGCAAGTGGTCCTTGTTCTGCCCATGCTTCAGGAGCCATCAGGGGAAGGCGAGTGCGAGGGTCCTTGATGCGCTCAGGAAGCCTGAAAATGACTTTGACGCGTCCGATTCTAGTGCCTATCAGTGAGCGTGCATATCAGCATCAGAATTATGTAGAGCAGCAACGTTCAGAGATATTACCTTGCAATCCTGTGGCTTCAGCGTCCCCATCTTGCAACACCACAACAGTGTCAAAACGACCTGGTTGTTCTCCGATTGGAGGACGCGCCTTGACGGCGTCAGTCTCGTTCTTGTCGTCAGTCAACGATTCCGGCGCAAACTTGATGCCATGGAACACATCAACGCGATCGAAGGGCATGCGAGAGACGGCGGTATGGAGCTCGGTGGGAGTGAGACGACGGTTGTTCTTGAGCATATAGATATATCGTGCTAGGGTGTTCGCGAAGCCCGGTGCCTTGTGTCTGTCTTCAATACGGTCTAGTGACTGCATTCAAACTGTAGGATGCTTCGGTAGTTTGATGCTAGTCTTGCCTGGGGGTGCGACGGCTGGGTCGGTATCGGAATAGTCTTCTTCATCATCATCTTCATCGACATCCCTCTGCAATCGTCTCCGCATTGTCGAGCTGAAAACGACCATTTTCTCCTGGCGTGCAAGCCACTTGACCATTTGCGGGTGTGCGTTCCGGTGATTAGATGCACGCCAGCCGTTCTTCGCGTAGTCGATATGGAGGCGTTCGAACGCCTCGGTATTGTAGTTATCCGTCGTTCCTAGCATGCGAATTGAGTCGACATAATGTAGAAGTGAGTGGAATTTAGGAATATTGAGATGTTCTCGTACACCGCAATTTACGAGAACCTGCTTGTTTTTGTGGAAAGCCTTGAGCGCATCCTCCATGTATCCTAGGGTTGCATCATCATGCGTCGAGTACTGTGCCAAGTAGATGAAGTCGAGGATGGCACGAAAAGCAAGTACAGCGTTCTTGGGGATCTTGCCGACCAAGCATCCAAGTAGAATACGCGCCATGTATTTGCGCTCGGTGCCGGAGACCTGAGCTAGAGCAGAGATACCGTTCTTGAAATGGCGCGTTCCGAACGCAGGTGGCAGGCAACGGATACGACGGTCGAGCTCCTGCTCGTCGACTAGTTCGGAGCACCACTGTACTATATGCTTGAATACCCCTTGATATAACTGGTGTAGGACATCCGGTGTGATACACGCGTGGATATCGGTGTAAGGCAGGTCGCGCCAGAAGGGACGTACTATATATCCACAGACGTTCAGTTCATTACACGCCTTCATACGCAGCCGAATCCTTCTTGCTGCCGCTTTTCTCGGTTGCGCGTCGCAGTACATCGAGGGTCCATAGGGACGTTCGCGCTGTTCCGGGAGTGGGCGACTCGAGGTTGTCCTCTGGGAGTTGACATCTGGGACACGTCCTGTACTTCGAGCACGTCACCAAACATTGTTCCGGATAATCAGCGACGTATGCGGCTAGAATCGGGTGCACCCTGCGCACTGCACCGTCTCCTCCTGTCACCTCGATCCCAGTTTTTCCGGCTTCGACAAGTGGTTCCAAAATGACGCGGACGGACGTATGAAATAGCTGCTGAGCGAGCGCGCGTTGCTTGCGCTTGGTGATCCCGTTCGAATCGACTTTGTCCACGGAGAGGTACCCAATGAGGATACACGTGTGTTCGGACGGTTTGCGTCTCAGAGCGCGAGGCAGGTTGCCGAGTGTCATGTAGACAGGGTAGGCCGATTTTCCACCAGAAAACTGTGTGAGTTGCGTCTTATCCGTCGCGATGATGACCGGCGCGACGGCAGAGCCATCAGGCAAGAGGCTCTGAGGTCAAGGTAAATATTGGCTCACTCACTAAAGTACAGTAAAAAGAAAACTCACCTGCACGGCATGCCACCACCGTCCAGTCCACATCTCGTGGTAGATGCGACTAGTTCGGGATGAGTCGCTGAATATACGACGTGGTCGATAGACTATCTGATCGGCATGGGCAGGATTGCCCAATAAGGTCCGTATCGCCTCGATTATGTTGCGGAACTGTACCAAGTGCCTCTCGTCAGGTCGATCCTTGAAGCTCAGCCACCTCTCTTTCCACTTGGCCCTCTCCGGAAGTGAGTCTACTCGTTGAAGCAGCACACGTGAATTGTGATAGGATAGACCCAGCCTTTCCTGAAACTAAGAAACCGTAGCCACATAAGTATTTGTGAGTACTATATGTCAAGACAGTGCAAGCAAAAGACGACGACCTACCCCAGGTATTTCCAAGACTCTGTCTACAGAGGATTGACTGAGGCCCTCCTGAACCGCCCAAGACGCGAACCTCCAGTCCATCTCGGACTGGAACGGCGCCCAAGGGTTTGCGGTTTCTGCCTCATCTTCGGTCTGTTCTTGGTCTTTGTCTGGAGTCTCTCAGTAACAGGACTGGATGTACTGTATAGTGTACTCACCTGGTGGTTGCGCCTCCCTCTCCCTCTCCCTCTCCCTCTGATCCAGCCAGCTCCTCCGTATGTCTTCATTCGTTCGGATCACCGTTGCCGCGTTCATATCGATATCTTCCACTCTTCTGTCCTCATTGTCGTCCAAAGCGAGGGTGTTTCGTCTGGAGGCCCTCGAAGACGGTCTGGCAACGCTAGAGGCACCTTGCTGTCTTGGTGCCGAGACCTCAATGAAGTCGAATGTGGATCCTATGTCTGATTGATCCTCTGGGTCTTCATCTGAAGACACGGATGAATTGATGGGGGTGCTATGAGGGTTACCAGAGTAATCCTGCTGCCCAGCGAATAATCCGCTTCCGCCTTCGCCCCTGTCGTCGTCGTCGTCGTCGTCGACACCGTCACCGTCTCTACATAAATTTGAATATCGAATGTCACTGTTAAGGATTCACAGCACTCACCGTCCCACAACCTCAAGGCGTTCATCATCACTGGAAGAATCGAAATTGTCAAAGTCGAATATTTCTCTTAATTTTCCCTTCTTGTACCAGGCGCATCTCTTGCTCATGGTCTGGTGCGCCGAGAGACCTTGCATAGTGTCGAAGCCTTCATTGCACGCCGCGCACGTTGTTGAGAGCACATCTTCCAGTGAGCACCGTCTTTTTCCCATAGCCTACCTCAAAATTAGCGCAGCAGTCGAAAAGTCAGAGGACGGACTGGCTCACCAGATCGTAGGCCTAGCGGAGAAGGCAAAAAAGGCCTCTCAAGATGTGTGCGCGCCTCTCGGGTACGCCTATTCGCCCCAGAGGTTCCTTACTCAATTGGCCTTCCGTTACATAACAGTCTTGACAGGCATATCCGCGGGAAAGTGTGCGTTCCCACACTGCGGCGGTTATTCTCGTTCTCTCCTCCCATCTCCTACCTTTCCTGTCTCTGTCTCTGTGCACGAACTTACTAGGTTGTGTTCTCCGGTCAGTCTCACCTGGGTTGTCGCTCTCCGTCAAACCAACCGTAACCAGCCGTTCGTGCACCGTCAATCGTCAATCGTTGATCGACAACTGCTATACTATTGGCAAAAAGTGAGTCCTAATACCTACCTCTACGACTCGCGGTCTGTAGGTTCGCGATCTACGGTACTCGCGCTTCGCGTACCTTTGCGCTAGCGCAGTGGCGTGGGAGAATGCAGCTCCATGCACTGTTGCCACGTGCTGCCAGGGACCGTTGACAGTGACAGGCCGCCGGATTGCGGTGGGAAGGTTAAGGAGCCTCCGGATCCGCTGCTCAGGTCCTAGTCACCCTTCAAGAAGAGTTCTATCACTGTGTCTCCCTTCGGCCCACACCATGGCTTCTCTCCGTCATCCTGCTCGGGTGTCGCAGCCCTACCGACCGTCTTTCTACAATACTCCTGGACTTACTGATGGAGCCAAGTCGATCGACTTGGACTCCAGGGATAGCCACAACCTCACACCTCTGGGCCGCGACGATAGCTTAGAAGGGATTGTCGTAGCGGTTGACAATATAGAATCAGATAACGGGCAACTACTACACGGTGAGTAACTGTCTGGTTTACATATCGCCTGCATTCCCGACTCTTGCACAGAGTACTCGGACTCAGAAGCACGTTTGAGCTCCTCCAACGCGGACACCGCCAACGCCACCAATACAGACCAAAGCGACGCGTACGATACCGACAATGAACACCCAGAGACTGTACTTCAAAAGGTCTTCTCCGATCTACTCCTGGACCCGGACTGGCCGTACATTCTGGACGTTCAGAGAGTGAGTGGCTATTACATTAGCGCATGCCTTGCATGTCTGATTACGCGGCAGACTATCGAGCTGGAACCGAGCGACTGGGATCAGCTTGTTGAAGACGTGCTCCACCGGGACGACGACCTCTACCGCCTCTTCTCGTGAGTCCCTGGCGCAGGTAGTACATGTTTGGGCTTAACCGATTCTCCCTCGCCATAGCTTCCAATACGACTGCGATCGCCGTGTCCTCATCATGTCTACCCCTACCCTCCTTCACGAGAAGGTGTCCAACTTCATGGCCTCTATCGTTACTACGCGCTACGGCGAATCTTACGTCCTGAAAGTGCCTGGGTTGCAGGGCGTCCTATCTGCCGAGACGAAGAGGGAGTTCGTCGGCCCTCTTCCTGCTCCTAACGACCCTTCCAGCCATGTGCGAAGGCAGATCGGGCCTGCGCTGTTAGTCCCTGACGGCGCTGTAATTCTGAGCTTCCCGGACCTTTTGCGCTGCAAGAACAACATTCTGCGGAGCAAGTACGGTGAACACGTAGTCAGAATATTTGAGAAGGGTTTCTACGAGCCTTGGGAGCATGTTCTGTATTGGGTACGTAGTGGTTTAGCTGCAGTTCGAATGTCTCTAAACATGTCTATAGTTCGGCCAGTACAGTGGTCCCAGGACGTTGAACCAAGACCCTAAGGACTTGCCCGTGTTCATGATGACGATCAAGATCATCGAGCATCCGAAGTACCACTCTCCATTCCCCTCGAACAAGCCTACGCCTCCACAAAAGAAAGTGTTGCGGGATCGCTGGTCGCCGATTGAGGACGACATGCTGTGCATGCACGACCCTGGTGATCCGAAGGAGAGGCTGACTGGCAAAGTTACCATCGGCGAGCACACGTTCTGCGGGGAGCTCGAGGCATACCTGGTGCTGATATCGTTCGCCAACCAGCACCGAGCGGTGTTGAAGCGGGGCTACCAGGCCCAATGGACGTTGTCGCGATGGGTGGAGGAGGGCTTTGGGATTGTGAGTTGAGCAGCGCGAACTCTGGTTGACTCTGAACTCTCAGTGTACCAATTTTCTAGAAGTTACAAAAGAAGTACGAAGGCGCTGAAGAACAACAACTCAAGGAGTTCACGAGCCTCTGGCAGACGGTCTTCTCGATGTACCAGTCTCGCCTCTGGGAGAAGGGAGGTAATGCTTGGCAGGCCTACGACAAGGCCCAGAAGGATGCCAGCGTCGACGTGTACAAGCAGGAGGGCGTCGCCGTAGTGTGGAACGATTTCATGCGCAGGGCTCCGTTCAGAAATCCGGGAGCACAGAAAGCGAACGTGGGCGAAGAGCCGGTGGACGAGTTCATCAAGTTCATTGAAGCCGGTGTGGTGTCTACGGCGAAGCAGCGTTTCGAGACCTTCAAGAGGGAATGCTGCGGGTACTCGCCGGATCCGCCTGCTGCCGAGATAGACGAGAGCGTGGACTTGCTGGACGAGAGTGATGCACACGACCAGTACTTGAAGCGAAAGCTGGAGCAGTGGGAGGAACTGCACGAAGAGCACGAGCGCGAGTTGAAGCGTCATCGTGATGTCTCAAACGAACCGGAGTCTGAGTGAGTGTTCTTTCCGTTGAAGAAGGTTGAGGTGTACTATCTGTGCGGACTTGGACATCACACGTCGTGTGTCATACGTTCAGGCAATTCACTCTACGCTCCGTACAACGTCACCTAGGCACCTCATCCTCCACCTTCACATTGTCCCTGGTAGTCTTGCTGTGGTATAGCTGTCCGTACTTCTCTCCAAACTCGCTCGCCGTATCGCTTATCGCTCGTCGCTCGCCGTACCGCACATCCTGTTATATCGCTCGTCAGTCGGCTCGTCATGTAGTACTGTGATGTCTGTTGTACGCTTGTAACATGTAACATTACGCACTATCGGAATACACACTATGTCACATTGTCAATGGGTTATTGGACTCCAAGGCGCGTAGCTGCACCAGAAGATGAATGCATTGCTTGTGGCTATTTGCCCTCGACCTTGCCAGTAGTGCAGAGCACGGGTACACCCGCGGGTGTCCCGAGGTGTACCCGTACCCGTACCCGCCCGGGTACAGACCCACGACGGCGGGTACGGGTTTTGCACGGGTGCAGGCGGGTCTGCGGGTCCACGGGCAAGTGGGCGGGTCCGCTCACGCGCCCACCTCTGGTTCGTCGGCCATGCTTGCGCGCTGGACATTCGCCCTGCCTGCTCATGGTCGCCGTGCATGTGGTGCTGGTCCATACCCTGCGCTCGCTTGTGTTCTCTCTCGCCCGCTGTCCCTCTCGCTCGCGTTCCCTCTCGCTCGTGTTCCCTCTCGGTTGCGTTCCCTCTCGCTCGCTGTCCCTCTCGCTCGCCTGTCCTCTCGCTCGCCCATCCACCCGCTTTCTCGCGCACCTGCTGGCCCGCTTGCCTACCCGCTCGCCTCCTTGCTCGCTCGCCTCCTTGCCTGCGTGTCCGCTTGTCCACCCGTTCTGGACCGCCCGCCTGCCCATCCGCTCACTGGCTCGTCCGCCTGCCCTCCCCCGCTCGACTCACCCGCCCCCCTCGCGCCCATGCCCGCAGTCCGCCCGCCAGCTGCGTCCGCCCGCAGGGCATTCACCCGTCGGCTGCGTTTGCACGCAGGGCATTCGCCCTGCATGCTTGTTGTTGTCGTGTGTGTCGCGTCCTCAGGCGTGCGTGTTGAACCGTATAGGCACCCACCGGGCCGCCGGGTTCCACGGGCCGGATCGCACTGCACGTGCTAGATCCGCACTTACCGCATAGAGCAAGTCATGCGTGGGAATGGACTATACAGTAGTATTAGTCAGCGTCTCTCAGATGTATATAAGACCCACCAGTAGTGTAGCTCTCTCTCCAGTACTTCCAACACCGGAACTACTTGTGTGCCTCAAGCTTAACAGCAACACCTTCAAGCAGGTAAGTTAGAGCGCGGTCCACTACGTGTGACCCTGTCTGCTCAACAGGTTATGAGCCCCGGTCGACGCCTGAGTACTGCGCCTTAACGGCTGCGACTCGGTGCGCACTGGCTTACCTGCGGCATCGCCCTCACGGGCTTGAAGCCAGGGGGAGACTATGCGCGGAAACGCTGCAGGTCTCAAGCGCGACTCACGTCGCCGCTAAACCCCATGAGGACACTGAGTCCATGTGTGTGGACAGCGCCTTTTGGCTGCAGTCCGTTGTGTGACAGAGCGCTGACGTCGCCTTCGTCAAGCAGCTCTTCAACGCTTCCCCCGTTCTACACAACTCTCACACAATGTCCAACGCTCTCCTCAACATGGTCCCTGTCCTGGACGGTTCCAACTACGCCAAGTGGTTGGAGGCCATGAAGTCCTACCTCCAGAGCCAGGAAGTCTGGTTCATGATCGGACAGACTCTCGGTGAGCGCCCGACGCTCGAGGAAGGCGGCAGAAACCGTCAGGAGGTCTTTGCGTGGACCCAGGCGGACGAGAAGGCGCAAGGCATGATACGCCTGCGCCTCAGTCCCTTGGTCGTTCAGATCGTAAAAGACAACGACTCGGCGAAAGATCTCTGGGACATGCTGTCGACAATGTACAGCAAGCAGAACGCTGCCAACCTCTACGCGTCCTTCAGGACTGCGACGACAGTGCGCGTTCCTGCTGACCAGCACCCCGCTCCTTTCCTCGCCAAGATCATCGATGCTTGCGAGAAGCTCGAGGACAACGATCTCAAGCTCCCCGACGCGCTTCTGGCCATGATGGCCCTGAATGCTTTACCATCGCGGTACGACAACGTCGTGCAGGTCATGCTGCAAACGACGGACGTCAAGAAGCTCAAGATCTCGGATGTCCGGCACGCCGCCAACCTCGCCTTTGAGCAAGGCTCGGGCAAGAAGGTGTCTTCTTCGCACGACGCGAAGAAGATCTCGG